TCCATCGTAGTATAAGAGTCACATTGTAGTCAAAGAATCGTCTATATCATGTCAACCTTTGTGCTTTGCCATAAGTATGAGTTATTATTTCACTTTGTGGCCAATGACACCTATGAGAATAGTGCAAAAATAAAATTATCACTACGAGAATTGAGAAAATATTAGTCTTTTTTCATGTAGTGTTTCTTAATTAATATCTGACGATTATCTATAATTATTTAGAAGGTTTAAATGTTAAGGTTATTTACATATAATTCAAATAACTCAGATATTTAACATGGTTAATGTCAAATATCAAAATGGAGTAAAAAAAAATCACTAGATAAAGAATTTTTTATATTTTTAGATAGCCAACTAAAATGAGTTTTGAATCAAGAATAATATTTTTAATTACATTATTATAAAAATATTTATTATTGAAAAATAATGTTTTAGAAACTGAAATTCTAAGAAAGAAATATTTTTTAAGACATATCAACACACCAAATAAGAGTTCAAGTAGTAGTAAAAGAGTTAAGTCTTATCCAAAGAGTCATTCATTGTCTCAATATTTGATTGTTTTGCCATAAATATGAGTTATTATTTTAATTCCTGACTATTTTTAGGATCCAATGACACGGCAAGAATGGTATCAAAAAAGAAAAATAGAAGAAATTGTTAAATTTTTTCATGTAGTTAATATCCAATGATTATCTATATTTACTGAGAAAGTGTAAATTTTAAGATTATTTACATACAATCCAAGTAACTTAAATATTTGGGGCAGTTACTCATTCAGCAGCACTACCCTTTAATTTAGTACCAAAATGAAGTTTAATGACACTTTCTTCAAATGTCGCATTGCTGAGATAGAAAAGGCCCTATCCAAAGGATGTTGTGGAGCGGATGAGATTCCTCTTCCCTTAACTAGAGGTCTCGGATTCGAGCTCTGGGCATAAAAAAATTTTTGATAGGGAACACTTTATATATTTTTGACTGGTTGTCAGGAAGGTGTTCAATAAATCCACTTTTAACTACTTTAGGTGCCTAATAGGAACAAATCCGAGTTAAAGTGCCAAAAACGAAAAATTGTGGCAACTTTAAGGGCCACTTATGCATTTGGCCAATTCGAAATGATGGAATAATAGAGTGGATCTCGAATCTGAGTTAGTCAACCAATAAATACAAAATATAATTAAGACCAATCAAATACAATATTCCAATAGAATATCTTATATTAGACCAATGAATATCTGGTATGCTACTAGATTATTATTTTTTATTTAAAAAAATAGAGGAATTCTGACAAAAATCCAATTTGTCCGCCATTAAAGCAGTTTATTTTTTCTCATATCTTTCATTTTCCATCGACTTTCTCGGAAACTTCAACAAATTCCACGTCCCATAGTCCATTTCTCACTTTCCCTCTCATTTCACTGACATTGATCTGCAATATACGTCTTTATATAAATTCATTTTCATTTTCACTTAACAAAATCAAAATAGTAAAGGATTTTAGCTTGTCTTTTACATTAACAATGGCGACTCAAAACGTTCTCGTAATGAGACATGGTGATAGGCTAGATAACTTTGAGGAATTATGGGTAATGAAAGCGGATAGGCCGTGGGATCCACCATTGCATCAGGATGGTAAGATCCGGGCTTTTTGTACGGGTCAAAAGATCCGATCCAATATGGATTTCCCGATCCATCGGGTTTTCGTTTCCCCTTTCCTCCGATGTGTACAGACTGCTGCTGAAGTTGTACGAGCCCTTTGTGACGCTGCGGATCATAACTGCGAGGCCAATGTCTTGTCCTCCAATTCTGAATCCGTCGTCATCGATCCTTCCAAAATCAAAGTAAATCTTCTTACTTTTTCTTTATTTTTGCTTAATTTTGGAAGGATTATATTTATCTATAAGTTTAAGTTATATGCATTGAGGATGTAAAAAGCATTTAAACTATATTAGATAATTATAGATAATCTCTTATAAGCATTAGTAGATAATGATGTGAAAATGATAATTGACTTGCTATCACAGGTTAAAAGTCACTAATAGTGTACAATCCACCATATATAACATGTAAATCCTTTACTTATTTATGGTTTTAAGTTTAAGGTGGAGGGAGTCATTGTGTTGGTAGAATTAAGGTGTCTTAGGCTGTTGATTATGGACGTATGACTGTTTACCAAAAGACAATAGCTGAAGGTTGGTATATTCACTGTATTTCAAGCTTGGTTGCTGGATAATGGAGGGTTTGAACTTTGGTGTCGATGGGTAGAAACGAAGTTGGGCTCTGTGGAGGGTGAACAGTAATTTAAGGAGTTAGTTCACTAGTCATATTGAAGGGGAGCCTTGGCATAACTAGTAAAGTTGTTGTCATGTGACCAGGAGGTCACGGGTTCAAGTCGTGTAAACAGCCTCTTGCAGAAATGCAGGGTAAGATTATTTACAATAGACTCTTGTCGTCCGGCCCTTCCCCGGACCCTGGGCATAGCGGGAACTTAGTGCATCGGGCTGCCCTTTTAGTTCACTACTATATTGCCATAGTCTTTTCAGATCCTCGTTCGTCGAGGATGATGTTTGGTGATTTGAGTAGCTCTGATCACGGCTGTCCTCTTAGCTCAGATGTCCACATTTTGTATGTAGCATTACCAATACGTCCAAGTCAACCTGAATCCTAGCTTGTTCAACACATTGTCATTAGGGTTGAGTGCCTGTGTCTGATATAAGTAACTACCAATTTTCAACATGGTTGTGCGCCTGTGATCAAGATAGTCGCGTAAGCTATACCGGGACTTAGATCTGAATATGCTGCTTGTGTCATGAAACTTGTTGCATACTTGATATGACTCACTTGAGTCTTTATAGAAGCCAGGGTGTTGACAGAGGTGCGGAAAGATACGGACACATTTTTGCTGAAATATCAGCATTCAAATCAAATGGCTTCTCTTAACTCTCGTTCTGGATAACATTTTTCAGGTATCCATCGAATATGGATTGTGTGAAATGCTGAATTTAGTAGCCATAAGAAGTAATGCAGCTCCCAAGGATGGGGACTTTAAGTTCAATATCTCACAATATGAAGCTGAGTTGCCTGCTGGAACTGTAGATCACACTGTTGAACCTGTGTATAAGAAGGTATTCTGTAGGATATGATTTCGCGCTTCAATTTTTGTTGGCATGGTCGAGTATATGCATGATCTGCTGTTTCTTAATCATGATATCTTATGCTTCTGAATCTTCAGCTGCCAGAGTGGCAAGAGACATTGGAAAGTGCAAGGGCTAGATATGTGGAGGTAGTTAAAGCCCTTGCTGATAAGTATCCTTCTGAGAACTTGTTGTTAGTCACACATGGTAAGTTGTCTTTCTTGGTTTTGCAATCTCTAGGTGCAATCTAGGTAAAAGACTACTGGTTGCAGTGTCAAAATCAGTTTAGAGATGTATTCCAATTTCTATGTTGTATCTTTGTCGGTAGCAAATGTTGTTTCAGATTGCTCGTATGTATCTGCAGTAGTTTATTTCTCACATGTCGCATGTCTGGATTTCTCATTGCTTCATGTTCTCCTTTTGCCATTATGTTAAAACTTTTAGCAATGATTTCAGTTGGATGCTTTGAATTTTTCCAGAACTGCAAATTCTCTTGCATTTTGGCGGTTAGAGGAAGTTGGAAACAACCTATGGCTAATGAAGTGACCTGCTACACCTGTTAGATGGCGTCAATGCTCTTGCATTATAGTTTCATTTATCATAAAACCAGCTGCTAAACTTTAAATTGGCAGGTCTACTAATAGTGTTCCCCCCCCCCCCCCCTCCCCCCGTAATTTATTTGCTCTCGCCCTATTCTGGGAGGTTAGCATGATAGAAAATCTCAAAGGATTGGTTTTGGTAATAATTGCAGCATGCATTGGTGCATCAATTATTTTCTGTAATTGGTCGTACATAAATGAAATTCTTCCTACTTCTTGTTACTAGATATGTCTAGAGTATTTGTTTATTGGCTCTGTAGATAAAATGCAATATTCATGCTATTTTGGCTTAAGTTCCCAATAATATTCCTGATTTCTTATCAACTCTTCTTTCATTAATCCAGGTGAAGGAGTAGGTTCCATCTTTACTGAAATTAACAAGGACGCAACTGTATTAGAGGTAGAATATTGTGGACATGTGCTCGCCAGGAGAACTATCCAATTCGGAGAGAACCAATCATTTACTGCTGGAGAGTTTGTATACGAGAAACAAACCGGTATATTATCTGCTGCTAAATAAAAATAAATCTACCAGACTATAAGTGATTGTTCGGGATTCTTCCCTCTCTGCCATGGCTGTTACTTATCGTCCATTTGTCGAAGCTTGCTTGTCCATTTAGATGTGTTAATGTCTCCATTGCTGAACTGAGTTATCACTCTTTCCTTTTCTCCTCCTCCTTTTTAAACTTCTGATTGAAAGAGAGGATCATGGAATTGCCCTATACACTGTTGAAATAATGGCCTCTGATCCCACCTTGTAACTGTGAAATCCCAAGATGCATTGCTTTGGACTACTTGCATTCCAATTGCAAGTGTTATTTTCACAGTGATAGTATTTGTAACTACTGTTTCCATCTCAAATTGAATATCACTTTTTCTTTGTTGAGTTGTTCCAAACCAATATGTTCATATACGATGAAAAGAAAAGTTAAATTCTTAGAGGTGTGATCTACTGGTCAATGAAGTGGATGAAAATCTTGAAAATCAGGGTTTAAATCCTAGCAGAGGCAAAAAACGTTAGATGATTTCTTCCCATCTACCTAAGCCTTGTTAGAGTTACTCGGTATTTATACTGGTAGGAGGTAGCAGGTACTTGATGGAGTAATCGAGGAGCGTGCAAGTTGGCTCGAACACCATTGTTATCCAAAAAGAAAAACAAAGACTCGCCCCTAAATTTAATTTACAAAATAAAGATTTCACATATTCCTTCAACAATGATTTCCAAAGAATATTACAGTTCAAATATTAAGTCGAACGAATTCCAATTATTTCAATGCATCATAGAAGGCAAACGAGGGGTAATAAATACCTCCAAAATAGTTGCCTTAGGCATATTAATGTCTAAGCCTTCTCTCATGTCAACTGCCATGTTAGATGGTGTACTAAAATCAAAACCTTGAAGCAAACGAGCAAAAGTGAGGAGTGTAACAATTGTTGCAAATTTCATCCCCGGGCACGACCGTCTTCCTGAACCAATCGGAATAAACTCAAAATTCTGACTCTATTACATGCACCGATCTATTCTTGATGGTCGGTCAAAAATCTCTCTAGCACAAATTTTCAGGGTCGGACCAAATCCGAGGATCTCGATGTATCTTCCATGGATTTACAAATAAACGAGTACCTTTTGGAACATCATAACCAAGTATTTTACAATCTTTTGTTGCTTTATGAGGTGCTAACAAAGGTGCAGGTGGATATAAACACAATGCTTCTTTAGTTATAGCTTGTAAATAGGCTAAATCTTGAACATCAGACTCTTCTATCCACTTCTTTTTACCAATTTTTATATCTGTCTCCTCTTGGGCACGTTTCATAACATTTGGATTGTTCAACAATAAGGACATTAACCATGTCCATTGCACAGCAGTAGTGTCAGCTCCATCTAGAATTATTGCCTACACATTTTAATAATTAGAGAAATGAATTACACAGTGATTAAATCCTAGAACTAAAAAGACATTTAGCTAGCGTTTGGAAAAAATTTTGATTGAAACTTGAAAAAAGAACTTTTGAAGTTGTGCTGAAAAATAATTTTTGAAAGTTGAAATTTTTGTGAGAAGAAGAGATATTTTTACCCAAAAACTGGAAACTGGGAACTTGAAAATTTTCGAAATTCTTTTTCCAATACATAATAATGTTTTCAAACTTTTTTTGAAAAAATAAAGCCAAAATTGATGGCCAAATGGGAGCTTAATCTAAACAATGATCAACATATATTAATGTGATCATAATGTTGAAAGAAAATCCAACTAATTAATAGTGTGAATGTGATACACAAAGTTGTTGTCTTGATATTAATTTATGTTTACTAGGTACATGTCTTAAGTCTTTGTCATATCAGCCGACACACAATCTGGCCATTTATTAGGTAAATACGAGTAAATCTCTTTATAAATATTAATTGATAATCTAGTAATGATGATAACTAACCTGTTATCACATGTTAAAATTTACTGATGGTATAAAACATTAGGGTATTCTGCCTTGGAGCAACGAAAAATTATCTTTGTGTGACCTATAGGTCACGGGTTCGAGCCGTGAAAGTAACCATTAATACTTGCATTAAGGTAGGTTGTCTACATCACACCCCTTAGGGGTGCGGCTCTTCCCCGGATCATGCGTGAACGCGCAATGCCTTGTACACCAACTACCTTTTTTTAGTATAAGAAAAATTACATTGTCAGTATATATAGTTTAAAAGCTTAAGAACGTATCATTACTGTTGCCTTGATGACAGTTTCTTGAGAATAACCATAGGCCTTGAACTCATCAAAATTTGTCACATTAAGCAAGGCATCAATAACATCTTGATTCTCATGATTAATGCCAATTTCTGCCTTCTTAATATGGTCATCCACCCAATTTTGAAGACCACCATCTATATCTTTATGAATTCTCTTCAATTTAATATGCCCTTGAAAATCCAAATACTTAAATAATGGAAATGGAACTGCATCATATAATATAATTTGCCCTGCCACATACATAAGACCAACCGTTCTATCAAAGTTATATGCAAGTGTAATCCTCACCTCATGATTTTGGGAAGAAGTGAATTTACTCATCTTCCTTTGTGCCAAAGAAAACAAGCATAGGGTGAACAGTTGGAAAAAAGCTGTGATAAAGCATCAAGCTCAATGAATTCCTTGTATGACAACAACAACAACCCAGTAAAATCCCACTAGTGAGGTCTGGGGAGGGTAGTGTGTACGCAGACTGTATTTCTACCCCGATGAAGTAAATTCCTTGTATGAAATATAACTAAATGAAATTGGAGGTGTACATTCCCCTCTTTATTTAAAGCCGCAGAGTTCAAATCAAGTGACACAAACTGGTATAACAAACAGCAAAGACGTGCAAAGTTTTAAAGAATGAGGCATAACAACAGAGAGAAGATTCAATTTTTTTGTAATTCTAGTTGATTGAGAACCAGATAGCGTGCTAAACTACTTGGTCTAACCTCAATTAATTGATCTTCTCTTGAATACAGAATAGAAGAACCACCTGCAGCATGTCACAAAGCAGTTAGGAAGTGAAACGATGGACTGCGCGAGTGCATGATTTTAAGTATTGGCACTACGGATGATGCCTGATATACATACCACACAGTCAGAAAGCAAAAGAGATTTTGAGTGCTAAATCAATGGATTTCACAAAATTTAGCTGAGTATACAGCAAAAATAAAAAATCAGTTCATTTCTTTATTTTATCAAATTAACTCTTGAATCTACATGGCTAAAACTGTTGCAATGGAAGTGTATGATATAAGTCCATTCTTAGGTAGTCATCCAAGAAAAGGTTTTGAGTAATTTAGAACTGAATTAACATGTTGCAGAAATGGAAGACAACATCTGTTGAAGAAAAGAAGAAACATATTTTATTGACCGCGTCAACTATTCAAAGCTGAATTCAAGGATTTGGTACTTACAAAGACATGTATGTTGTAAACCAGCACTGAGTATAATATTACATAGGCAGATCTCTAACGCTTAGGAAGTCCACACCACCTGTCACTGCACAAAAAGGCAAATTAAAAAATATTTTGTCTATTATATATACACACACACACGAGGATAAGCCAGTATCTTCTGGTAATGGCCCAGAAAGTGCTTTTTGAAGAGGGAACGAAGATTAGATTTTTTTCCTCTCGAGGCAAAGAAAAGAGCCTCTAAAGAAGCAAATTAGAAAAAAGTAAAGTGTATTAAAACATTTAGGGAGTGTAAGAAAAACTTAACGGCTGTATAAAACAAGAAGGATGTGGACGACCTATCACGTTATTGTGCTATATGTGGAGGTCTCTGGAGGGGTGTTATAGACATGAGATTCATACAAGGATATTAATTTTACAATAGCTATGGCGACAGAAACAACATCCAAAAACAGGAGCGGTGATGATCCCTTTTTTCCCGAACCATTGTCAGCATTCACTGTCTGTTAAGACAGTACAATATTTACAATTAGTGTTGATTTGTTCAGGGATTTGATTAAGGATTTGATTAGACTTTGTAATTATATACCTACTAAATTGTATACACTAGTAATTACTAGTATATTTTATTAGATTTGATCACCTTCTGAACCGAAATCTCTTTTTATACTAGTTGGAGGATTTCCCCACTCAGCTACTGTAGAAAGGTTAAATACAATCTCACCCTACATCTCGTTCCTCCTCACGGCTGCTTTTTCTTAAAAGCGGCATGTATTGAAATGGCTAAGTTGTGACGAGATCTTTCTTTTTTCCAGTGTGCAGGGATCTCATTTTTACATATCATAAAACAGTGACAACAGAAAGTAACAGTACAGAATGTTAATATAAGGTTTCTGTTTATTATGGAATTTCGAGAACCAGGCTCAATTCATTTGCTAACTCGATTTTGTCAATTTAATGAGCACACTAAAGCAACAACAGCATATGCAAACCTTATAGACAAGCCGCATAGATCTTCTGCGATGACTTTGTAGACGCTTTGCACTTCTCAAAATTCTCCCATCATTATTATGATGAACATTATCAGATTTAAAATCATCCCTGTTTCTCTTCTTCCCTCCGTGGGATAACTGTTTCTTCGAAAACTCTCTGCCATGTGTACAAGTCCAAAAAACAAAATTTTCATTGTTGTGTAATCAGATTTATAATTCACAGCATCTTAATTTAGGAAGTGTCATTACTTTGAAGCTTCAATTCCGTTGGCATGGCTGTCCCTTGCCTGTGAAAAGAAAGAGATCATGATGTTAATTTCAGGTTTTCATGAAAGAAACAAAACATATCAACTATAATAAGAGAATCACGGAGACAAATTTCTACATGCTTAGTGATCATTTTCTATTACATGCAAAGAAAAAAGTGGATAAATAACAGAAAATAGGCAAGCTGAGAAATGGAGGAGCTGTATAATATGTAACTTCAACTTAGTCGAGCCAATAGTAGTCGAAAAGGACAGTCACACAAACATCAAAGTAGAACTAATACAAATTTGATCAAAACCAATAAAACCACATTCAATGCCAATTATCTAATTCCTTTCCCTCTAAGGCACCACCACTGCTAGTAGTGTGATCAGCCGTCACCATAATTGCTGCTGTTATATCCGGATTCCGGGGTCACAGCCACCTCTGTAGCCACCACCGTATCACCTTTGCGTCTCTCACCTCTGGAACCTCAACCATGCTCATGGTGTCCCTCACCCCAACCACCAACACCACCGCTTGTTCGGCACAATTGACTTACAAATCAAGGCTCGGGCCATTTAAACTCCCTATCACGTCCCTCATTGCTTGCTCATCGTTGAAGGTAATGCAGCCAAAACCACTAGATCTACCAGTCTCGAGCTAGTTGATGATCTTCAATTGGAGTATTTCAATAACCTGAGCAAAAGGCTCCGCAATGGTCCGATTGGTGGTGGCTCGTGTGAGCCCACAGATAAGGCACCTGTATTCCACATTGACAGAAGATAACTTTTTGTTTTTGGGAGAGAGAGAGAGACAGAAAGGGAGGAGAATCCAAATAGAACAAATAGAGCTGCTTAGGAGGCATAAACTATTCCAATATTCAATATCATTTTAACACATTATCAGACCAGTAATAAGCTTATCAAAGGGGATATAAGCCTACTAATGAATGTCAGGTCACTAGTAAGAAACAAAAATAAACAGAATAAACTAGCCTCGAATAAAGCTGGTATGCTCAGATCGCCAACATGTTGACAAATACTAGTAATGAGGAAACTACATAAAACAAAGAATGTAATATACATACTCCTCAACTTAACCATTCATGGAGCAGAAACTATTTATAGACTGGTTGGACATCCCACTACGTAGAAAATCCAAAACAAGGAATGAAAGGATACATAGCAAAATACACCGGATTATGCTAAGATGATATTACCCCTCCATCAGCAGATGAAGGCGTGTCAATTCTACAGCTATCCTCACAAGAATTGGGTAGTTGACTTCTTAGGCTTTCTGCTGCATCAACCAAATTTCTAAGGTAATCTTTCCTAGAAGAATATGATACATGTTGATGATGATTGCCAATTTCTGATGCCTCTATCTCAGAAAAATCAGTTTCCGAAGAGAGATGAGCTAGCACCGTAAGCTTCTCCGGAGAACAAGTTCTCTGCCTTTTAGAATTGAGACAACTTACATTACATGATTCTTTTGTTGCTGAAAATCCCAAAGCCGCATCATCTGTTTTTTCTGTATGACGTACAACATCAACAGTTGTACACAAACTTGGGGACGAAACAGTTTGTGCATGGCCACTGTTAGATTTACTGTCTGAATCTGTTTCCCAGAGAAATGAACTTGTCATTTGTCTATTATTTCTTAGGTATTGAATCTCCTGACGGAAACTTTGAAATTTGTGATTCTGCATATTGTTACATACACACTCCTCCTTTCCCAATCTTCTATAACGGTCTGATGGGCATGAATTCAAGTCAACTGAAAGGTTGATTCCATCTTCCGATGAGACAGAAAACTTAAATGAAGGCACATGCGTTGACTTTATGTCAGAAGTAAATGCATTCTTGGAAAAACTTATTGGTGGACTGCGAACTCTTTGATTGAAACCCTTCTCATCACATAGGCCAGAAGAATCTTGAAGGTTGTACCAATTGCCTTTGGAAGTTTCTACATCTGCTATCTGCGTCAAGACAAACTTGTATTTCAGATATCAACCCAGGGTATATAAGCACGTGATGTAATAACCAACAAACCTTATCAAGCGTTTTCGAGATGGTCGCGTCACAATACAATTTCATAGTGAACTCATCATATGTATCATATATTTAATCTCACCCAAATTTTCACATTCATCCACTACAAAAGATTGTCTGTCATCAACCCAAAGCCAACATTTACCTTGAAGTAATTGATCAAAGAACTCACGAGATTGGGTTTTGTCTTATAAGGAGACAAACCGTACTTCTTGCACAAGTCTTGAAGCTTTTTCTTGGGTAGGCTGTAAATGGAATTTCGGCTGTCCTTTGTCTTCATCCCTCTGAATGAAAACCTCTCCTCACCCTGCATCAAGCCAAAGTGATCCTTTAGTGATCAATCCAGGTCATCTAAGAAGGTCGTGTGATAATCAAGAAACTTATATCAGGCATTTTCTAGATGATCACATCAACAATACAATTTCCAAATTAGGTCATCTTCATGTTTCATGTGTTTAATCTCACCCAAATATTCACTTTTTATTCACCAAAAATAATAGTACTATCTTTAACATCAACCACTACCAGAAATCGAGCTTTTCCGACTACCGAAACCGCCGGAAAGTAGTCGAAAATCGGTGATTTCCGACGACTTTCCGACTGTTTTGCGATAGTCGAAAAATTGAACTTCGGAAAAAGCTTTCCCACATAGTTGTCGGACATTTCCGACTACAGTAGCCGTATAATTTAAAATCTGATACGACCAGAAAATGGTGGAATATTCTGACTACAGTATTCGGAAACTTAAATAAATAAGTATTTATTTATTTAAACATTTCCGACTACTTAGTGGACGGTTAAATAAATAAATACTAATTATTTATAAGTGATCAAAGAAGTTACAAGATTAAGCTTTGTCTTATAAGGAGATAAACCATGTTTCCTGCACAAAACTTTATTCCCTTTCTTGGGTAGCTTGCAAATCAAATTCCCATTGTCCTTTGTCTTCATCTCTTTAAAAAAGCTAACCCGCTCCCTGCATCAAGCTCTTATTGCTTGCTCATTTAGGAGACCTTTACCAGGGCAAAATCATATGACTCCAGGTGAATAAATGTTGTAGATGCGGATACTTCCTTCTAAAGAAAATATAGGCATAGCCAACACTGAGTTTAAGGTTTCCTTTACCTAAGGACAAGTAAACACGTCTAACATAGGCTAACAAATAGCCTCAAAAAACAGCACAGCTTTTGTAGCTTTTTTTTGATAAGATAAATTGTATTAATCAAAAGGGAGAGAACTCCCGTATACAGGAGCACAGCTTTTGTAGTTCTCCCAAAATGTCTAAAGAAAATTCTTTTTAGGATGGTTAAGTTAGAAAATAGTACCATGTTCCATATAGCATGAAATAGAAGTAACTAACTTTTTATCAACCTTCAAATCCCTTCGAATTGGTGAGATTACAAAATACGCTCAAAATCCAAAACCAAGTCCAGCAGCTTCTTTAAACTAGACATAAGTTTAGACATTTTACCCACCCATTCCGTACTATAGGCACCAAACAAAGTAACTACTCAACATTTTTACAAATCACTAAAGAACAAGAAGCGCCATGACACTTATAAGCTTTGTTCTTGTTACCTTCTCTTCTAAACTCCTCCAACACAGAGGCAAAGCCACGATATAAAGTTTATGGATTCTGAACTAGCCATCAAACTCATAGCTCGTTTACTTACTAGGTTCACAATTAAGTAGTTATACATATTTTAATGGCTTTTAAATACAAATACAGTGTTTAAACAAAAGCTAGTGGTTCATTCGAATGCGTAACTGATTAAAGCTCACAGTTGTAAGGAAGTAATGCCTTTAGTAACATAACAAATTAATCAGTTGAACATATCAAAAGAAGCCAAATAAAAAAACAGCCAGATTTGGTGTACTTTCAATCAAAATCAGCCAAAACGCTTTAGTACTAAGTAAATCAGTAGAAAAAGACGAAAATAGTACTATTCGAAATTCAAATCCACAAAAAGCGCCAAAACTTATTACTACTACTGTAAAAGGTAAAAACGAGTGAAATACAGAGACTTTGGATCTGTTACCTTCCTGTAGTATCAACAAATGGAGAGGCCTTGAGAAATTAAACCGGATTTGTCAGCTGGAAGTTTCTAGAAATGGGAGTGGAGCAGAGCTAAAGCTGAACTAGTTGGGAGCTGGGAATGGAAGAGAGGGAAAGTAGAGTTAAGGGTCATCGGGTTTTAAAACATATAGGTAAGACCCGGGCCCTTTGGATTAGGATGTTTACCCTAATTTCAAATTTTTGAAAATGATACTTCCACATAATTTCAAAATTAGAAAAATTAGCAATGTTTTTGGGAAAAATAACAATTTCTAAATAATACTACTACTCCCTGCCTCTCAATTTAACCGATCATAAAGTTTAATACTCACTTTGTGCTAGTTTATTTGATACTTTTTATTTTTCGAGGTATAAATTTCTTAATTTTGACTGTACAGATGAACATAGAATTTTTAAATTTTTAAATTTTTAAAATAAAATTTATATATTTAGAAAAAAGCTTATTATAAGTCACAACAATGAATAATTCCAAAAATTTAAAAGGCATATGAAAAATATGCAGTCAAAACATAATTTGTTTGACTCTCAAAATCTGAATGTCGTCACATAAATTAGGATGAAGGGAGTTAGAAAGAAAGAAATTTTTTTGCAACTTGTGGTCTAAAACAGGTTATAAATATTTGTGTGTGTGATAAATCATCTTATTAAAGATAAAATTGAAAATTTAAAGGTAACTTATTTCTTATTATAAAATTGTGTCCTTTTTTTAGATATACTAAAAAGGATAGAGTATATCACATAAATAGGGACAAAAAGAGTCCTATTTTTCAAATATTGTCTAAGTATTTCCCTTCTAGCTACAAATATTCTAACTCTATGAATATACCTCGTCTTTAGTGGCGAAGCAATATATGGTCATAAGGGTGGTCAACTGACCACGCTTCGTCGAAAAATTATACTGTGTACAGGTAAAATATTATGTTTTAGAGGTATATAACACATATTGAACATCCTTTATCGGAAATTTTTTTTCACCTCTTTTAAATTTGAACACCTTTGGAGAAATTTCTAGCTTCGCCACTGCTCGTCTTGACCAAAAGATGTGTTATAAGATCGTAGATTATTATATCATTAATAACGTAAGGTATTGGTTTGCTCATTTTCTATGTTTGCCAAGAAGAAAGAGGACATCTTAAGATTATTACGTAAATTTGCAAAAAATAGCTTCAGTGAACGAGTTTTGATTTAAAATAGTTGTGTGCATTTTGATAAAAAGGGAATCAAAATTTATATGCCAGGACTAATATCATCCAAATTTTTGAGTTATTTTATTTTATTTTATTTTTTTTGGGGGGGGGGGGGGTCTAGGAGCTGTTTGGCCATTAAAAAATTTACTTTTTCTGGGAAACTTTTCACCTTTTCCGGAGTTAGTGTTTCGCCATGAAAGTCTTAAATTTCACTTGAAGTTGAATTTCGAAATTTTTCGAAAATTTGAAAAACTCCAAAAACCTGCATTTCAAAATTTTCACTTCTAATCACTAACAAAAATTAAAAAACAACTAAAAATTATTTTTTCGGAATTTCACAATTCTTATGTCCAAAAGCCCACTAGGAGTATGTCAGTCTTATAAGAGAAATGACCATATATAGCCTATCAAAATTTTAATGGCCCATATTTTTTCTCATTGACCCGGAATATCCCTCCGGCCCGAACATATTACATCTAATAGTCCAAAATGTCTATTTTGTATATATATTTTGTATAGTGACAGAGTATTTAGTATATTTTTTATACGGTGACAGTCTATTGTATATAAATTATACAGTACAGTCTATTTTGTATAGTGACATCTACTTTGTATATTTTTTTGTATAGTGACAGTCTTTTTTGTATATACTTTGTACAGTGACATCTATTTTGTATATTTTTTGTATAGTGACGGTCTATTTAGTATACAAATTGTATAGTGAAAGTCTATTTAGTATATAAATTGTATAGTGACAGTCTATTTTGTATATTTTTTGTATAGTGGCAGTCTTTTTTTGTATATTGAATGACTACACATTTTGTAAAACCAGTCATTACATAATTGATGTGATGCATCTTACTGTGATTTTTAATTATTTATTGTCTGTTAGTTTATTTAGGAATTGTAACAAATGCAGTATACTACACGGATCCTATGTTTGAACTTACGTAGTATTATATAAAAAAAATTCCAAATTCTCAACAGAAAAAAGGAGTATACTTTACAACTTTTAAAAGGAAAGATATAAAACAAGAAAAAAAATTGATTTTTTTTTGGCAACTAAAAATATTTCATTATCAATGGAGTAATATATAGCAAAATGCCCTGCCTTGTATAGCGAAAATTTCTTCCTTTTTTTTTCTTCCGTGCATATCTTGACTAAAAATTAAATCTATTAAGTGCATGTAATATCAATCTTACATGCACTGGCCAAGGATTGGCCAAGGATTCCTAGTTTTGTGTTCATAATTAAACTGATAGTTTTGATTTTGATTTTGAGTATAAAGGGGGCAATTTGTTCCTTATCATATTATGCTCCGCAGATAAAACTTGGTGTAGGCTATTATATTGAAATTGCAATTAAAATGGCTACTTTCTGCATATTAATCCAACTCCTGGAAGTTGAGATTACATTGAGTGTAATTGTTTGAAGCCATAGTGTTCAATAACACTGCACAAACATACAATTTAGGGGTGTTTGGTTGGCAAACAAATTAGATTATCCCATGATTAATTATTCCGCAATTAGTTATATCACGATTTTATCCAACCAAAAGCAGCATAAAATCTCAAATTTAACCCTAAATTTAATTATCCTACCCAGCCTTACAGTCCAAAAGATGGAAATATGGACCTCCAATTAACAATCATTAATCAAATTACTAGAAAATACTAAAGATGAAATTACTTACGTCCAAACAGCTGAAAATTAAAACATGAAATCAAATAATCAATCAAAGCTGCGGGCAAACTCGCTCAAATACCATGGTTATCAGAAAAAAGACAGAAATTAAAACATCCAACTAACAATTATAATCAACTACCAGAAAATTAATGAAGAAATGTCAAGCAAATCTGGATATCATTTTAGAAATTGTTCAAAGACAAAACAGACTCACATTAACTACTACATTTAGATAATAATAACAGTATCGCCCGTTAATCTCTTCAATACCAGAGACAAAACCTCAATTTTAAAGCAAAAATTAAGATCAGAACCTAAGCTTAGTAAAAAACCAACGATTTTTCCCAGTCTTAAACCTTTCCTCAAGCCGAGCTTTAGCTTCCTTAGCAGCAGTAACCTTCTTATCACGAGACTGAAGAACATCGACATTAACAACATCTTTCAGATCTACATCAAGTGTATAACGAGTCGGCATAATGTGATTGTAATTAACGAGCTTAATAAAAGCTTTAACTCGTGATTTCTTCGCTTGTTTTTTGGCTGAATCTTTTCGGATTACTTTTTTCGGGTATTTACTTATACCTGCAACTAAACAATGGCCGTATGGTCTATCTCTTGTTCCATCATCGAATGCGCGAATGATTACTGCTTTTCGGCCGGCGTATTTGCCTTGCAGAATGATTACGGCTTTGTTTGGTTTTAGGAACTTCACCATCTTCGCTCGCTGCCGCCGATGAATGCAATGAAGAGGAGCTGAATTCGCTGGTGTTTGTGCTGCTGTAGAAATGATGTTTATATGGAGAGTGGTGATTAAAGCCCTAGGAATGGACTTGGGCTCAGAACGTTGGGCTTGACCTCGCCCAATTAAACTATTTAATGTCTAGCCATATTTGACAAACTACAGACGCGATGAGTCTGAATTTTGATTTTGAGGCGACTTCAATTTAAATATTTCGTGAATGTTGACTATTCTTTAAATAGTGATTCTAAACACGGCTATTTGTGGGGTGATTTTTAAAAATAGCCAGATTTACAACTGGTCGTTCAAAAATAGCCCAATTTCAAAAGTAATCAAAATTTAGCCACTTTTTATATAAAGATAAATCTGAGCGAAAACACTGTTCAAAACCCGAAAAATACTCCAGTATATTATGCTGGAGTTCCAGCATAAGTATACTTGAACTCCAACATATTATACTGGAGTTCCAGGATAGTATGCTGGAACTTTCCAGCATAAATACACTATACTGGAGTTCCAGCAAGTATAATGGTCAAGTATAATATACTGGAGTTTGGAGCACCAGTGCTCCAGTCTCCAGTATATTATACTGGAGCCAGCAAAGTATACCGGTCCAGCGTAATATGCTGGAGTTCATACACAAGTGCACCGAACTTCAGTATATTATGCTGGACCGGTCTCTATTGCAGCAAAACGGTGGCCATTTTTCATTGACTTGGTAAATGCTGACTATTTTTGATTGACCAGTCCGAAAACTGGCTATACTGTGAAATTTAAACCTATTTGTGCACTTGGGCCAAGTGTAGATATGCTAGTGGGTCTCACCCCAAAGAGAGAATAATTGACTGGAGTTTTCTGTCAAAAATTAACCTAAATAGCCGCCTATCCAACAAAAACAATAAACCCGATAGTTTCCCACAAATGGGGTCTGAAGAGGGTAAGATGTACGCGGCCTTACCCCTACCCCTGGAATGGCAGAGAAGCTATTTCCGATAGACCCTCGGCTAGAGAACGACTGAAAAAAGAGGTAATTGCAACAAGTAGGTATACACCATGAATATGATATATTACCCATCCTAAGGAAGGTATATATTGATCGCATTTTATACTAATTTTACAAAATATTACTCTCATTCGATAATAACTTCTTGATATGTATGCGGCTGTAAAATGATGGAGACTACAGTTTCTTTAAAAAAAAAAAAGCAAAACGTGAAACATTTGCAACCATAACCAACACTTGAATTATATATTGTTGACATATAAAAGAAAGGAAGTAAGGTCAAGTTAAGTACTTGATATAAGAATTGCTTCGTTTTAATGTTACTTTTGAAATTCATTTGATGAACGGTTGAATAGGCTTACCATTCATCAGTTTGAGAGCTTGTATTTTCTTCATCAACTTTTGTGCAACTTATCGCACACTTATTATAATATTTTTAAAATATTTATACTAATTAATATCGAATACACATACAACGTACGTGTTCGAG